ATCCCTATGCAAAATGCACCCTTGAAAGAATATTTTATAGTTAATTTTCACAGAGTTCAATTTTGAAACAAAAAATATGGACTTATTCATTCTCAAAAACAACATTGTGGACTTAATCTATGTATGTCTGTTGAAGCCCCAATATAGGTGGGCGCATATTTTATGTTTGAATTTGAACCTATAAAGATAGAAAGATGGGTTATTATGTCATGTTCTTAATGAAGTTGGCAATAATAAATGGATGAATGAACGGTTCCTTAATCTTTATTACTCATCCATGATTGTTGCTGACATATATTTGGTGAAGATCTTGTGGATATTGTTAATTTGATACTTTTAAAGAGTTTAATTGTGCATAAAAAATTTGGACGTATTCTACGTATGTGTGCCGAAGCCTCAATAAGTGGGAGTGTATTTTAGTTTTACAGTCGAACCTAGAAAGATAGGTTATTATGTCATGTGCTTAAGTTGGCAACAATAAATCTTTTGTAAGTAACTTACAAACATCGAAAGCTCCTTCTTCCTATGTCATTTAGTTCATTTTAAAAAGTTCCAACCTCCTAATATAAACCCTAATATAGACCTATCATTTTATATTGAGAACTACTGAGTTTTCTCCAAATAATTGCACAGTTTTTTACATGCTATGGTTTTGAGAGTACTTTTCTTCAGTTTGGACGCTGAATCTGAATACTTCATCCTCTTTGGCCGAAGTGAAGTGGAAAAAAGCCAAATAGTACGTTCAACTGTTTGCTAATATAACCCTAAAATTGTATATTGGTAAAACTTGGTCAGAGTTTTTACATGCTTTGGTTTTCAGCTTCAGTTGGTAGGCTGAAACCGAATGCTTCACCCTCTTTAGCCAAATTGAGGCGGATCTGATACTGGCAATCGAATAATGACACGCTCATTAACTTTACTCATTATTCATTTTCGGTCCACTGGGTTATTTAATTAAATTATGTCTTTTTTGAAATTGTTGATAATATGTTATTAATGGGAATAGTATCTGTAAGTCTGAATTAAGAGTTCAAACATTTTGCGCTTTGGGAAAAAAAGAAGAAGACAATTTATGCTTTTTCCTTTAAGCCACATAATTTAGAACATGTTTCTCTTGTCAGGGGAAGGAACTGAAGCGCCAGATGGAAGAAGCTGAAAGAGAAGAAAGGCAACGTGAAAAGGAACTTAAGCGCCAACAAGATGAAGCGGATAAAGAACAAAGGCGTCGTGAACGAGAAGAAGCTGAACTGAAGAAGCAACTTAAGCGGCAGCAAGAGGACGCTGAGAAAGAACAAAGACGTCATGAAAAGGAAGAAGCTGAATCAAAAAAGCAACTTAAGAAGCAGCAAGAAGAAGCCGAGAAAGATAAGAGACGTCGTGAAAAAGAAGAAGCTGAACGCAAGAAGCAACTCAGTGTACAGAAGCAAGCTGCTATGATGAAACGTTTTTTCAAGAGTAATTCTAATGTCAACATATCACCGACCAAGGTGTCTTCTCCTCGTTCTCCTCACAAGAATGAGCAAATATCCAATGCAGTAATATTGGCAATGGATCACGCATTTTCTCATTATGAGGCAATGGAACTATCTGACCTTTTAAGGTTATTATCATGACTGTAATTTAAGAAAGTTACATGTATTTTTTATTTGCATACAGTTCTTATGATATAGTATGTTTTTTTTTGTTATGTAGATCACACTTGGGTACATGGCAAAATTGCTCCCTTCGAAAGAAGAAATCTCAACGGTGGGGTATGCGTCACAATCCCAAGGTTGCTGTGATAAAGGAGCTTAGGCTACAAGGATCATGTTCCGAAGTTGAAAATTCTTCAAAAATCACAACTCTAACAGCTAAAAGGCTTGCCTTTAATGACACCAATGACTCAACTGATCATCACATAGAGAAGCTCGATGATGGATGGGGTGTGATGGCATCTGATGATAGTTTATGCCATAATGCTTCACCGACCTTCTTTCGGTTGTGCAAAAAGACTAAAAAGCTTCTGCAATTTTATAAGAGTCACAGGCCTGCATATTATGGTACTATGTCCAAGAAAAGGTAAGCCTTCTTTGTTCATGTTCAAACCACAGTAACCTATAAAAGTTCCCCTTGACTTTTGAATGCATACCAGGGTGCAACAAAATCTAGATTGTTTAGAGAAATTACAAATTTTGATTAAGGGACAAATGCTGTAGCCTGTACCATCCAAGGTTTCTTGTACCATGTATTCCAGGCAGCTGGGGAACCCAAAGTTGCCCTTGATTTGGAGAGAGGGGTTTTGCATGGGGGATATGGTTGTCTTTATTGTGGAGAGTGGGAAATGGATGTAAAGTTGCCTTTGTTTTGGAGGGAGGAGTTCTTTTGTTATGGTTTTGTCATTATTCTACAGTGTGGGAGACCTTTTGTGACTTACCAGCTTTAGGGTTAGTCTTATAATATTTCCAAGACTGGTGCTACTTTTTGCAGAATTATGAAAATGAGTGGCATTGTTGTAGTTTCCCATTTCTAGATGATGAGTGCTAATAAGGTCTGCTTATGTCAGTAAAGATCCCAACTGCTGCTGTGTGTTCATAGAGACTTCTGTCTTCTATGGCTCCATATGATAATTAAGATTCTTATCTTCTTCTTACAGTGATGTTGTTGGAGCACGCCATCCTTTCTCAAAAGATCCCACCTTGGACTATACAATTGAGAGTGACGAAGAATGGGAAGAGGTATTAGCTTTAAGTCATGTTCTTTGCCTAAGTCTTTTGTTGCTACTACCAATTGGTAACAGCTGCTTTGCTTCTCTTGCAGGATGATCCAGGTGAAAGCTTGTCTGACTTAGATAAAGATGATGAGGAAGATAAGGAAGCTGAAGATAATTTAAAGACTGAGAATGAAGATGGAAGTGAAGATAGCTTCCTTGTTCCTGATGGCTATCTTTCAGAAAATGAGGTAACTCTTCCATGGCTATTTTTTGAGGTGCTGACTGCTGACTATCGATTTCAAAATTTATTTGCTGAAACTTATGTGGTTTGAGTATGCATTTAGTCCTGTTTATTCTCTAGTATTTATATCCCAAGAGAAATGATCCTATAGGAACCTCCCCCACCCATGTGTGTAGGACCCCAAAGGATTACCATTAAATTTGGCACGGATCTATAGAAAAGTCAAGTCCCACACCCATGTTATAACTTTTCTAGATATTCATGCTAACTTTAATGGTGATCCTTTAGGGTCCTACACTCATGGGTGGGGGAGGGTCCTATAGGATCATTACTCATATCCTAATCCCCTACAATACCTTATGGTATATCCATCCAAATATGCTGGGTTTCATTTTTCATTTCCTGCAGCTTTCAGCAAACTTGTTTCTTGACTATCCATCTGAATGGACTACCATATGTACCTATAATTCATATTGTTGTTTTGAGTATCCAAGTGGACTACTATGTCTTTAATTCATATATTGGCTTTTCATTACCCTTGTTTCAAAAAAGCGCATTCATACAGCTGCTTGAATTCCAATTTCTTAAGCCAGATATTGGAAAGTGAACTTGGCATGACATTTATTAACTTGGCATGATAGTTGAGGGAAAATTCGTCACAATTTGGAAATGATGTGTAACTGAGATCAAACTTTCTTTAATTTCTTCTCCTTTTATATTCAGGGAGTGCAGGTTAATAGCCTGACAGATGAGGAGGGAACTAGTGGTTGTGAAGTCAAGCCTGAACATGAAACTGAAGAATTCAGGGCATTGCTAAGACAACAGAGATACCTCAATAATCTCACAGAACAAGCCCTTCGAAGAAACCACGCATTGGTGATAACAAACCTGATGCATGAGAAGCTCAATCTAATGGTGGCGGAAGATGTCACAGGCAACCCCAGGGTTGAACAACTGTGTCTACAAGCTCTGAGCATAAGGCCATGTTTTGAAGGTGCATGTGTAGAGCTTTCTCAAGAACCTGAGTCTTGTAAGACCAATGAGGAGGTCCCAAAGAGGAAGCCTAAGAAAGAATCTGAATCTTGCAAGACGAACAAAGAAGAGGCCCCCAGGAGACAAAGTAAGAGCAGCATGACTCCATCTGTAACAACAGCTACTGTCTTATACGATGCTGATTTGCCTGAAATTGTGAGTATCACTTGCCCTATTTATCATGGTGCTGTAAAACCTTCCAGAACCAGTACTTTTGGTGAAAGCTGTTTAGCATTTTGGTTTCAGGATTAGTTAGATATTTTGATACCTGTAATGACTAATGAATTTAAGTTTCTCCCTATTCTTCATGGTGCCGTAAAACCTCCCAAAACTGCTACCTCTGGGGGTCATCGTTTAGCATTTTGGTGTTAGGAAACAATTGTGAAAATGATAAAAAATTTAATCACAAAAACCTACCATAGTAGCATTGTATGAATATGAATAAGAATAAAGAAAGGGCTCTGGCAATCCTTATAGCCCACCCTCTCTCTTTCTCTCTTTCTGTTTCGTTATCCTATTCTCTTTATTGGTCTGTTCTCTTTGTCTGCAAATTAATCTAAAGCCAAAACAAAGTCAAAATCCAAGATGTGAAAAAAAAGTGAAAATTCAAAACGTGAGATGAACTAAGGATAAAACAGGCTGAGAAAGGTGTGCAGAAAGATATTCATGTCTATTTTAAGCAATGTTAGATAATTATTGAAATATTTATGTTATTGTATTGTTCAATGTAATATGTACAAAAGAATTACCTTTCAAGACCAATTTATATGTTGTTTTAGTATCTGTTGTGAAAATTGATGGGGCTAGTTTGTTTTGTTTATAAGAATCAATATGGTGGAAAGGATTTGTATCAGATTTGATAGGGGGATCATGAATATTTTGCACAACATCAGATAATTCTACTAAACATTTCGTATCTCATAACAGATAGCACGCATGCATGCAAATAATGGTATTGGTTATTAAGTTTGAGAGTTTATCAGTTTTGTACATGGGAACCAATATGGAAAGGATTTGTGTCAGATACAATGAGATATTTTTGGGATCTGTTTTCTGATGTATTACTGTATTTGGAAACAAATGAATCATTCAAATGGAAGATGCAATTTCTCAACCCTGATTATTAATGAACGGATGGGGATTTGGAATTCAGGTCTGGTGCATCCAGTCATTCTCATATGAAACAAGGAAGCTGTTCAAGTGCTTGCAAAGAAAGTTTCCTTTGGTTTCCAGAGCAGATTTGCGTTGCAAAGTGCTAGAAATTGCAACCTTTTTGCACAAACGTTGGCAGGTTTGTTGGGTTTATATATATTCATAAATGGTGTTTCTTCCATAAAGCTTGTAAGTTCATGTTAATGAAAAGGGCATTGTTACTGTGCAGGTAAAGAAAGAGATCCTGGACAAGTTAGGGAAGTCTGTCTTGCCAGGTAAGTTGTAGGAAACAAGTTGGATCTTTATTGGGGTTTTCTCTTGAACTCTGTTTCACTGAATTTTTAAGGCTTATTTATAAATGTATTAGAATTTAAATACGAATCTCCCTTCCTAGTTTCCTAAGATTTTTTTTTTCTGCTTTTCCAGAGAGAGGAAAAGTGAAGAAGGGGATCACTACATTTTTTACGAAGCGATGTCATCCTCCAGAAACTGAAGCCATGGACTCAATTAAATCAGAGGACACCGATACGAAAGCCATTGAACCAATCGATTCCTCTCCTCAACCGTGCCGTAGAACAGAGGTCGTCAATACCGAAGCCATTAAAGTAATTGAATCCTCTCCTCCACCATGCCATAAAACAGAGGCCAATACTAAAGCCATGAAAGCAATTGATTCCTCTCGTCAACAACCATGCCATAAGACAGAGGCCACCACTGTTGAAGTCACACAAGCAATCAATTCCCACCCTCAACCATTCCATAAAACAGAGGATATTGATGCCCATGTAATGTGCTCGGAAAGCTTTACTGGTTTTCAACCGATGGCTACTAATGTTGAAGTCAAGAAAGCAATCAATACCTCTCCTTAAACAGTCCATAAAATGGGGGCCATCAATGTCCATGTCATTTGCTCAGAAAACATGCAACAAATCTAGAATCATGATGACATTCCTGGTTCCCAACCTTCGCGGATTCATGATGATGTCATAAATGGCTCTCAACCATGCTGTTAAGTTCTACTCATCATCCATCATGCATATGACCCATGCTGGGGCATCTATTAATCACGCCTCCGTGTATGACTATTGATTGATGTTGCTGTTATACCTTGTAGATGCCTATTTTTGGCCGTACATGAAAGATGGTGCGTGAGTATTTTTGCATGTATAACTATGTATGGCCATGTGGCAGGATATGGAAGAGTGATGTCTTAACATGAAGAGATGGATTCATGGGTATATATCTGCATGGTGCACCTTTTGTTAGCATATTGTAGTGATAATGACAATACATATACTCCATGGATAGAGGAGGGCAATTGTTTCAGTATTTTGCATCATTTTGTATTGTGTACTTTTGGGCAATTGTGTGTTTGCAGTCTTATGATTCTATAATGGAGAATGGTCTGAGACTTGTCTCTGGCTCCTGGCCTGAGTTGAGTTACTTGGCGAGATCCTCCTAGTCTTGGATGCACTGAAAGAGTGGTAATTCTGTTTCTTGTTCTTGAGCAACTTCGTTCAAACGCAGCTTTCACTGCTATTTTTTTTTGGCTGTCAGATAACTAGAACAAATGTAGTGGAATGTGTACGATAAGTGATGCATAGTCGGTTAACTTCCAACAAAGTTTGAGAAAGGAGAGAGGTTAATAGTACCTTTTTGTACCAGGATGTAAATGGCATCATTCTATACTTTTTCATATATTATTAACCTCATTGTACCATATGTAAATGCCATCATTCTATACTTTTTTTTCATAGAGTTCAAGGAATTACATGATACTTGGGCATCGTAATATTTATGTCAACGGTTGTAAAAGGTGCTCGCCTTGTACCATTTGCCACGTTATGTGGATCTAATATCGGAAACCTTATGATAGCTTCGAAATTCATCTTTAACTTTATATATAAAAATTCAAATCTTAATAAAGGTACAAATCAGATTAATAAACACTTGAGAATCTTGAAAATATTCATGTTTAACCTTAACTATAAAAATTATAATTTTAAAAAGGTACAAATCATATTAATAAACCCTTGAGAATCTTGAAAATCAATGGTGAAAATCAGTGGTCCAAGTAATCATTTTTAGGCTGCATTGAACGTACATTCTGATAAATAAAAGTGTCACAATATTTGAGAATTTTCTTTTTGGATTTTATGCTCAATGAGTTATGCAACCTCAACCATCCGAATTCAAATCTAATGGTCAATGATTATACATTTTTTTTTACATATATCTATACATCTTGATGTTGAAATGACCAATTGAAAGATTTTCCGACTCTTTTTTATTGGATTTACAAGTCTAACTCTTTTTTATTGAATTTACAAGGTACACCTTACTTCTATACCTTACTTATTACAACCTTATATAAACTTTTTTCTTTATGTTAACATTGGACAGCTTTTCTTTGGGAAAAAATCATATTGGTTAAGATGGGGATAGCTGTCGCCTCCGAAAGAGAAGTATGTAACTGGACAACATTGATAAACTTATAAATTAGATATTAGATGCAAATGGATCATGGGGATTTTCAAGCATCAGACTTGAGTTGAACTCAATGAATCAGATAAAATCTCAACTTTGCACACACACGGAGGGAGAGTCCAACAAGTCCTGAATAATCATATCCACTCAATTCAACTTTACATACACATGGAGAGAGAGAGAGGGTCATCTAACAACTGAATAATCATATCCACTCAAAGCTGAAACATTCATAACAACAGGCCGTCACAAGTCTCCTCAACACAAACCCCCCAACAACAAAAAAATCTAAGGGTAGGCCTACCCAATCACCCACTTGAGAGAGAGAGAGAGAGAGAGAGAGTCACCTTCAATCAACAGAAGACTACTTGGTCTCCCTCCGAAAGTAATTCACTCAAGACAGAAAAATCTCCCCTCTAAGCACCTTCAAGGAGCACATGAAGCCAACCTCTTCCTCTCACACAATAACTCATTGAGCCCAAGCAACGTTACAGACTCAATCCTCCTCACTTCAACTCCACCCCTTGCCAGCTTGAACGACTCCAAACCCGCATTAGTAACCTGCCTGCACCAGCTAATATGCAACACGCTAAGCCTCTTGCACCCATCCCTTAATGCCCTCAACCCGACATCACATAGGCCCCGGCATCTATTCACATGTAATATCTCCAAATTCAAACAATCAGTCCCTATAGCCCTCCAACCCAGAACCCCAACACCGTGACACACCCCAAGGTTCCACTCCTTTAGCCTAGTGCACCCTTTGGCTATAGCACAGACTGACTCGTCCCCCACAAACCGACATAGCCTGAGGTTCAAGTACCTTAGGCTCGAGCACCTGAGCCCAATCGAGCCTAGCTGGTCCCCTCCGGTCCAGCCCCTCGGGCTTGATAGGTTCAGATACTCGAGCGAACCCCCACTCACTGCATGGGCAAGCCCCTCAGGACTAAACCTACATGAGTCAGCCTCCAGCAATGCTAACTCACCACAATGCCTTAGCCCATATCCTCTTATTCCTGTACAACTGGTTATGACTAGTGTAGTGAGACTTGGACACCCGGAGGATAGAGCCTCAAGCCCCGTGTCAGTGACCGTGGTGCATGAAAGGTTCACATGTTCTAGGCTCTTGCAAGACTCAGCCAAGACTCGAAGCCCAGTGTCAGTGATGTTGCATCGATAGAGGCTTATATAGGTCAAGTTGGGGCACCCAGCTGAGATGTCGGCTACGCCTGAATCAGTAAGGCCCAGGCACAGGTCGAGGCATAGTGCTTGTAGCCTCGAGCCATTTAGGGAAAGGGAGGCTAGCCCATGGTCTGTGAGTTTGGTGCAACCAGCTAGTGATATTGAGCTGAGGTGGGTGAACCGGGCTAAGAGTCTTGGAAGATATTTAATGTAGTCCTCAGATGCTTCTGGGGTATAGATGCAACGTAACCTCAAGGAGCCACGAGTTGAGCTGTCGACCCTTAGCCACCTCTGACAAGTCAGGCTAAAGGCATTGAGGTCTTCCCAGTTATTGAGGAGACGCACGATCATGGCTAAACAATCGTCTGGGATTTCAGCAATAGTGGTTCCCATAGCGTTGCAGCAATCAGGCCTCCTCCTGATGGTCCCGATGGGACACAGGTTCCTAATCTGGTTCGTTCAATCAGAAAAAAGGAAAAGAATAAAAGGAAAAATGATGTTTTGAGTGGTTTAAATATCTGGGTTGTGAAAACTTCCGACTCTCTTTTCCTTTGGGATTGGTCATCCAGGTGATTCCCTTGATGAAAGCATTGTGACAAACCGCATGGTTTCATAAAGCCCATAAAAGAAAAGCACTGCTAATTTTCAGAAATATCATGAGCATGTCACCAAAATACTAAGGAAAGATAATGCATACCATAAAAAATAAAATAAAAAAATTCTAGTGCTTTTCATCACATCTTTTCAACTTTTGAAGGCAATAAGTAAACAGAGGCTCAATTTTTTTAAAACAATGTAAATAAAAGATTATCAATGGTTTGTTTCTTTGCAAATATTTTCTCGTTTCTCCAAAGATTCTCTAATTTTATGAGAGAAAATGTGCTCTAATTTCTATGTGCAAGTTTAACAAATTTTACAGAGAATTCACAGATCATCCTAAAATCTCGTTAAGAAATTCCCAGGAACGCAATTTGTCAATTTTGATAGAATATCAATCATCAACCAAGGGTGCCACAGCTTGAAAGCCAAGTTAGAATGCAAATCAAAAGGAAGATGCAGATGCCAGCTACCTGGTTTAGACAATGTTTATAAAAGTGTTTAGCTTCAAATTATTAACTTATATCTTTAAGCCCCTGAATCATGGGGCTAGCTGAACTCATCCAAAGGCTGAACAGCTCTGATCTTTATAGTGTACTTCCTGTGTGAAGAATGGGTGGCTGAATCTGAACAGTTAGAGGCTGAATCGCCATATCCATAGCCAATGTGGGTCCCACAATTTCGACAGAGGAGTTTGGTTTTCATGCCAAATGGGCCCCACGAGTAAGGGAGACACTTGACCTCATCAATCTGAGTGAACCTGCTTGGATCAACCGAAAGGAAGGAGATGACACCTTTCTTGATGGATTTTTGGTACCCAGAGCCTATGCGTGAGGTAATTCGGTTGGAAGATTTTAAATTCAAGGAGTAACCACAAGACCCACAACTGCAAAAGAGGAGAACAAAACTCATATTGTAAAGCAAATATCATAGAGAGGAACATACAGTAGAAATATGCTGGCAAAAGTGTGTTTAGAAACCAAGGGAGAGCATATCGTCATTGGAAATAGTCCAATGCGTCATCATTCTCCATTGAAATGTGGACAGTGATGGAGAGAGGCTGGGCCTGTCAGTGGGGTTATGGCTTGTTCTAGTGGGTCCAACTTTCTCTCCATCATGTCCAATTCAATTATGTGTTGTCCCCATGGACTGTGAATTGGCCATAGTTCATGGATCATAAACCAACAATTCAAATGTCTATAGGGTACAAAGAGTGGTCAGTTTTGGTCATACTATCTTGTTCTGTGCATTTAAAATTGAGAAATAAATATCTTATGAGCAGAAAATAACATAGATCTCAGGTTTGATGGCACAAACGTCGAATTACAATGTAACAAGTAACCAACTATACCATGATTGGCATGCCCCTTCCTTTCTTGTCAATGGTGCAACTGAATTTGTGGATATTTGTTTTGAACATATAAAAACTCCATTGATGAGTATCAAAATGCCTTAACATGAAGCCTAAAATATCTTGAGGACAATAATAGCTTAACTATGAACAGTTTATGACAAGAATGTATAACGGATGGCACATAGAGCAAACTTTGTAAAATGAACCAGCCCGTCAAAAGAACCAAATGGTAATTTTCCAAAAATGGAAAAAAAGAAAAGGGAAAGAACCAACAGTTGCTCTCTCTGTTTTTTGGCACCTTTTTGAGCAATGGGCCCCGAGACCTCTCTTCCTCTCCCTAGAACAGCTGCTTTCTCTGTATTTTGCTTGAACAAAATTTTTGGGACACAGTACATATTTATCATCTTGCTTGTACAGAGCACCCATTTGGTGGGCTGCCTTACCGCCTCATCATCATCTGAACCTTATCCCAACTATTTGGGGCCGGCGGGCTGCCTTATCACCTCGTTGCACTTGATTTTGTCTCCTTCAATATTATACAGTGAATTATCTCATTTAAACAAATAAAAAAAGGATCCAACATTCTGATTAATGCAGCCTGCCCACATATATTTTTACACAAACTTTCTGATGCAACATCCCTCCAAAACCAATACATTAGAGGGTTATAGGAGGGGTGGATGGGTGTTGACTCGAGCTCGATCATCCGCTTCAAAACTAAATTGGAGCATTCAACAAATGGTTGCAGTTTGCATAACTCCCTTCTTGGTGACAGAAGAATCTCCATGAGAGAAAAAACTTTTAACTATTCGTTTTACTTCCATTTTGGAAAGGCGAGTAAACGTGAGGTTAAGTAGGACCTTTTTGCCAAGATTGCTTCATCCAAAAGGCTACAGAGCCATCAGATAATTAGTAGTTACTGAACATTCTAACCTAATAACCAGAATGATTGAAAAAATAACATTATCAGGAGAGTCCAAGGTTCTATTGGAGATTGAACAGATGCTTTAGTACACAAAAATCTCTAATCTTAACAATCTTTGATTACTGATCCTTTTCTGCTTGTTCATCTTGTGACATTTCTGAGTCTATAATTCATAATATCAACTGTAAGTCATTGCTATCATTGCAGTTATAGAAGAATTCATCAGTCAATTGTGTGATTGTAACCATTGCCAATCCCTGTAAGATCTATCTTGTTCATCATGGAAGATGTATTCAATGCTTTGTGAGATACGATAGTCAGCATGGGTTAGTCAAGTGCACATCCAAGGGTCAGAAGAATCACAACATTACTCAAAAAAATAAAAAAGGCTAAAATAAATACTCAATAGAAGCAAGAGAGAGAGAGAGAGAGAGAGAGAGAGAGAGAGAGAGATGCACACCTAATGCCTAATAGATCATATGCGCAGCACTGAAAATGAGGAGACCGACTGTCAAGCCAAATAAGAAATGAGCAGGGAGTCTTATTTCATGGGGGATCATATTTCCTTTCATGATTTCTTCACTCTCACTACCTATTATACATCACTCCTCTCCATCATTTGTGATGCCTCTGATCCATGATTTTATCTACTAAAGATTAACAAGATAAAATATGAGGAAGTATGTTTTTTGAACTTCAAGGCCAACCTAAGTTGATCAAGTTCATAACATTTGTTTTCTGATTAGGTTATGCAAGTTTTACGTTATCAGTGAAAAATAACAGAAGTTGATCAAGCCTGCATAAAATAGCTCCCTAGTTATCCAGAATCCAGATAGGTGTTGATCCCAGCAAGCTATGGCAAGCTTGGCCAAAATAAAAATGCATGAATCCCATCGCTATGCATTTTGTTAGCAATCCAAAGTGGACAATAAGTAAACTATTTCTCTATGATTTTACTAATAGGAATCACAGTTACATGTGCAATCAACAAAATAAATATGCTTTAGTTCTCATTCTCTCTTTAAAAATATGCAATTGCCAAGTTTAAGAACTCAGCTCAGGCCGCGGACTCGGCCCTAGCCTGAGCCAAGTTACTCCAATGAGTCCAAGTGGACTCACTTGAATCATGTACAGGGCCCAAAAACCCAAAAAGTTTGAAAACAATTTCAAAAAATTGTAAACAAATAAAATAAAAATAGTAAAAGCCAAACAAAACTAAAAATAACATAAAAATAACAAATAAGCTGAAAATATATATAAAACATGGATTTAGAAAAAAAATGGTTTACAGTTGGATACACTTTAGAAAAATCCAAAAAAAATAAAAGGAAACTATAAAAATAGAGAATATGACAAGAAAACTCACAAATCATTGTCCAAAAGCATCCAAATTCCATATAAATTATTTATCAATTTTGATTTTTTTTGAATTTTTAAAATACCCTGAGTTTTAGCAGGCAAGAGCCATCGGAGTCCTTGAACATTGTGTAATTGGGTCTCTCTCTCTCTCT